AAAAACATGACATTAAAGTTAGCAGTCACTATAGAGAATTTTTTAATTTTTTTTAACAAAGAAATTTGCTCCAAAAAATTATTTTAAAAAAATGAATTTTTAATTTTTTTAAATTCCTACATGTCAATTTTTTTTTATATTGTTTTTTTGCCATAATTTATTTGTAAAAAAAAATTCTAATAATTATTTAAAATCTGCTAAATTTATCATCATCATAAAAACAAAGAAGTTAAAAAAAAATTATGATGATCCATCAATTCATCTATTTTTTATGGTCAAAAATAGATTTGACCTAACTTGTAAATAATTACCCAAAACTTTCTTGAAATTGCGAGATAAGGCCAGCTATAATAGCTAAATTTGTAAAGAAACCTCGCCAAAAATTAAAAAAATGAATAATTATATTCAAACTTTTTTAAACCATGCTGTTCGAAAAGTGTTAAAGCAATAGATTATTATTCCAAAAATATTAATCTTTAACCTTCTAAAATATTGCCCCCCTATTTTTGGTCAGGCGAGTGTGAATTTTTTACTACTAACGATTTTAAAATATTTTTTTTACGAGAAAGTTATAAATGTTTAGTATGGAAGTTTGTGGGTGTAGTTTTGTTGTAGTAAACTTTATTTCAACTAAAACTCACTACTGTTTACTCTTGCTCTCTCTTCGGCACTCGAAACTGCTGCATAAACAGGTGGGATACTAAATAGTACATATATACAAGCTTAGGTATGTATTTGAGAGAAAAAGAGTGAGAGAGAGAGAGAGAGAGTATATAGGGGAAATCTCTTGGCGTCGGTCGTTGATACAAACCCTCTACTCTCATTGTGTAGGTTATAGCATAGTAGATTTAGTACAGCCAGTGCACAGACAGTCGAGACATGCCCGTAAGGGTACTGAACCATCCCCTTTAGAATTATATAATATACATATATAAAAACGTATTAATAGCCTTATGCACATATATGCATTGTATATATGTGCATATTCCTACATAGAATTGTTAAAGTAACGTTACCTCGACCCCGACATATTTTATTTAGTATATGCGTTAAATGTGATAATGCACCGGCCTTCACTTGAATGTAAACCGGTTCATGTACACTTTTAATGAAAATTTATTTACTATAATAGCACCAATAGTTTAAATAATTATTGTCATTGCAGGAGTGAAAAATGAATTTTTTTTTTTTTTAAATTGATCCTCTGTGCAATTATTACTGCTTTTTCACCGAATTTATTCACCCTTGCGTGCTACATGTATGGATTCACATATGTATGTACAAATGAATAGAATGAAGGGGAGCGATGGAATGTTGACTATATAATGCGTTCATAAATTATTTTATGACTTAACAGGTGACTGAAGAGAATGCACTAAAAATATTATTATTATTATTTAAAAAAGATATAATAACAATTTTTTAAATAGAGTTAAAAAAAATAATGTGGGCCGTTTTAAACATTTAAATTATTACCATTAATTGATCCTCTACTGAATAATAAATTTTATTGTTAAATAGATCCTAACTTAAATTGTAAATATCAACTAATAAACAATAAATATTGTTGTTATTATTATTAGCAACCTTGCAGTCACTATGTGACTGCCGTAACTTGTGAACTATAAATAAATAAAATTTTACTTTATTAAATAATGACTTTTGTTAAATTGCACTGTACTTTTTTAACTATTGATTTTTTCAAAGATATAAGCTCATCCTGATGTTACACTCATCAAGAGCTTTCATTTGAGTACCCACATGCATTTTTAATATATTTTTCATATATACATATATGTAATATATATAAAATATATGAAAAATTGATGTGGGTACTCAAATGAAAGGTCTCGATGAGTGTAACATGGGAATGAGCTTATATCTTTAAAAATGTCAATCGTGCATAAGATACCAGGTCATTTCTTAATTATTGATATTTTTAAAGATATAAGCTCATCCCGATGTTACATTTATCAAGAGCTTTTATTTGAATACCTACATGCATTTTTGATATATTTTTTATATATACATATATATAATATATATAAATATACAAAATATATGAAAAATTGATGTGGGTATTCAAATGAAAGGTCTTGATGAGTATAATGTCGGGGTGAGCTTATATCTTTAAAAATGTCAATAGTTCACAAGATACAAGGTCATTTCTTAATTATGTATTAAATACTTATCGTCATAAATTTACTATTAGTGAAAATGATATGAAACCCTGAAAAGGCACAACTCCAGGTCAAGACTTTTCCAACGATACCAAATTAATCATAAAAACCCATTTTATCATCTAGAAACACTGACCACAAAATTTTACATATTTTCTTAATAATATAGATCATTATTATTAAAATTTTTTAGTATGAAAATAAACACCCTTGAAATAAAGGTTTAATTTTGTTTACAAAAAAATTTATTTCAGAGTTATAAAAACTCTAAAATTTATATTTTTTATTCAAAAAATAAAAATCTTAATTTTTCAATTTAATAGCTGTCAGTTTAAAAAAAAAAAAATGTACATATATTTAAAAAAACTAATTATCAATTTAACGAGCAATAAAACAAAAGCCGATGATAATGATGTTATTAAAATAATATATTATGTAATAAAAATAAAAATGCAAGTGAAAAGGAATTACTAATAGCCGAGAGTGATGACTTGGATGGAGCTATTAGTCGGCGGATGTAAACACACGATGCTTTGAAAAAGCAGAGATCGGTGTGTATGTATATATATGTATGTAGAGGTAGTGAGAGTACTGAGGGTGTGGTATCCTCGGAGTGAAAGAGGGTAAAAAGAGACGGGAGCACGTGAATAGAGTTTGGTAGACGTGGACTAGCCGACAATAACCAACAAGCCAGAGGAAGCAAAGCGAGAGAGAGAAAGAGGAAGAAAGTAAAATATAGAGCTTGGACTAGAATGTTGTACGGGATTGCTAAAGGGGTGAGTTCCATGCACAAACTCCGGTCTGTATATATAATAGTGCCGGGAGAATCGTGTAACCGTGTTGCCGTGTAGCCGTGTTACCCAGGCCAACGGGGGTGTGTCTCGGCCTCCAAATAGAGTCCCCTTTATCCCCGCAAAATCCGCGAGCGAATCAATACAGCTGGGGCCGAGACCGCCGCCCTGATGCTATTCTACCCTCACCTACATCAACGCGATTCTCAACGCTGAACGTATCCACCCCTTTAACGATGCGATTCCCCAGTTTCAAGTTCCTCCAGCTACATACAGCTTTAGCACCAGCAGCAGCTTCTCCTACATTCGCTTATATTCTGCTGGCACTGCTGTTACTGTACTGCCACTGCTTGCTGCTGGCTGCTGGTGACTTCCCTTCATCCTTTTCTATTTCCTCCAACACGCTTTACCCTCCATTCACCCTCTACTGATATTCACCCTCCGTCATATCCCTCTTCAACTCCCAACCTCCATCTCTTTGCTTCCAGTCTTTAAAACTTTTCATACACATTCAACCCTCGTCGATGGCCTTCTATTCCATTCCATTCCATTCCATTCCACGCTTCTCGTTTATGTACCAAACTCTCCTCTGTATTTTGTATATCTGTAGTGGATCTTTCACTTGCCACATATCAATACTCGACTCGACTTCCCTTTCACTTGATCTCTTTTTATCCCTCTCATTTTTTATTCTATCTTGTTATTCATGCTCCTGTTTTTTAACCCTTACACCATTCAATATCTCATTATTTATTATTCTCTTTTAACAACTTCGCTGAAGAAATAAAAAAACTATTTGATTCAAGAAAAATATTCCCTTTGAAATTTTTAAATATTCATTCAAAAAATTTACTTGCGAATTAATAAATTAAAACTTCTAAAATAGCATTATCTTTTTTTTTAATAATTTTAATTTAATGAAGAATTGTTAGTGTTTTTGAACAAGATATTCTTCGTCCAAAGATTTCTTCTTTTTAAAATAAAATTACAACGAAAAATTTTTGGTAATTATTTACAAGTTGGGTCCAACATTTTAATTTTCATTTTTTTAAACGAAATTTCAATTTGATTTTATTGTGCAGAAAAAAAGGTTCGCTTGAGCCAAGAAAATATTTTTCCTAATAATTTTCTTGAGCAAAAAAAATTTTTTTTTTTACAAGATATTTCACTTATTCCAAGAAAATTAATTCTCTTGCTTTAAGAAATACGTATCTTGATCCAAGAAAATTTATTCAAGTCAAGAAAATCTTATTGTTTTGAGAAAATTCAGCCTCTTGTTCCAAAAAATTTAGTTGTTGATAGAAGTAAATTTTCTTGTCTTGAGAATATTTCTCTCTTGCTCCAAAAAATTAAATATAAGGATAGAAGTAAATTTTCATTAATATCAAATAATATTTTATCATTTTTTTTTCATTCAATATGTATAATTGCACGCTAAAATAATATAAAATGGGTATCAAATATTCAAGAGAAAAATTTTCTCAAGGTGAGAAAATTTTTTTCTCACCAGAGGTGACGCTGCTTCTTTAAAGTATCTAAAAATCTTGATCAAACATAAACATTTATTGTTTCAAATATTTATGATAATTTGAATTAAGTAAAAATTACTTTCACCAAGAACACACGGAAAGAACAAGATGACACTGGATATCATCCCAGATTATACTGAGTGAAAAAGAAATTTCAGATAGTAGCTGGTATAATCCAGATTACAATGAGTATAATCTAGATACACGCAGTATAATGTGGATTTTTCTAGCTACTATCTGAAATTTTTTTTCACCACATATTACTGAGTATAATCTGGAATGATATCCAGTGTCATCTTGTTCTTTCCGTGTAGGATTTCAAGAAAAATTTTGACTTTGGCCAACACGACTTCGGTCTTCCTTAAGGTAATCGAAAATTTTTTTGAGCCAAGAATTTTGTTCTTCAGTCAAGAAATTTCTCTTTTGGTCTGATATATTTTTTTTTGTTGAAAAATACGTAAAAAAATGAACAATTAAAAAAAAAATTGATTATCACAATTTTAACAAATTTTCTAAAAAATTTATAAATTTTTTAATTCAACTTTTTTTTTTATGTATTTTTCAAAAATTACCAAATTTTTGAATATATGCTAATACTTTTTGTATCAAAAAATTCTTGAATACTTATTAGAATATTTATAAGTAAAAATTTTGTTTTTTAAAAATTTTCTGGCTATTTTTAAAGAAGAGAAAACAAATTCTTGAACAAAAAATATAAAGTTTTGAAAAATTGTAATGGAAAATTACTCTTGAGTTTGTATCGATCAAAACTTGAAATTCAAGACAAGAAATTTTTCAAGAAAGATAACCAGTTGTCTTCAAAATAACTTTCTTGAATCAAGATAGTTCTTCTATCACATTATTTATTTCTTTTATTCTTCTTTTTCACCCAAAATAACCACAGGCATTTTAGTTTTATAAGTAAAGTATTTCCGTTGCTTTATTTGGTTGAACTTGAGTGTGTAGTGGATAGCGGATAGAAAAAAAAAAAAAAAAAAAAAACAGTGTCTGGAGTACTTGGCAATATTCCAAGTATCAACCAGTTATTCCAAGTTGCCCGATATTTTCGTTCAACAGGATAAGAACAAGTTATACGATTATACTTAACTTACTATTTTGTATTTTAATTATTTGTTTAGATATTTACTCAAGATATGAATTTTTTCCAACGACAATCAACAGATTAATATCCAAGATGTGGATAAATAAACAGATGAGTAAATTTATTGTTTAAAAAATTAAAGTATACTTACGACGACAATTGCGTGCGTCATCAGGCCAGTCGACGACCTCGACCTCCTCGGCGTCATGCCGACAACCTCGCCCCTCATGATACTCTCTACAACTGCATCATAAAATGAGAAAGTGCCAGTGTTAACTTTCAATGTCTTTTAAGTAACATATGTACACTAATACATAATATTTAAATTTATAAATTACCTCCATCCCCAATCAAACGCATTTGAACTAATCGTGGATCTTCATTGTGCTCTTCAAGCACGGTGTCGTCAGTCACTGTTAAATCCTAGAAGGTAAAATAATTAATTAAAAATTATTTTAGCAAAAAATAAATTGTAACGAGTGTGTCGAGGATATTAATTAATGTTGATGACTATAAATAAAAATATAAAAAGTTGATTACCTTGGTTGATTCGTTGTAACCGACAATGACAGCTGTATACCATTGGGTAGTGCCTTCAGCGCGATAAACCTCGACCCTGAAGCCAACTAGAACACTAGGTGTGGTTAATAAAATCCTTTGACCATCCTGCATCTCTGCCCATCTTCTTATAGCATTTGCCCATGGTAAACTTCCTTTCGTTAGCTCCCAATCTTGCTGCTTAAATCAGTAAATAATAACCAAGTTAGTTTTATTTTATTTTGATTATTATTCACTACTACTAACAACTTTGCAGTTACTATGTAACTGCCGTGATTTGTGAAATATAAAAAATTAAAATTTTGCTTTATTAAATAATGTTAAATTACACTGTAATTTGTTAAATATTTACGTATTTAAAGATATAAGCTCATCCTGATGTTACACTCATTAAGAGCTTTCATTTGAGTACCCACATGCACTTTTCATATATTTGTCATATATACATGTATATAATATATATATAAATATATGAAAAATTGATGTGGGTACTCAAATGAAAGGTCTCGAGGAGTGTAACATCAGGATGAGCTTATATCTTTAAAAATGTCGATAGTTTACAAGATGCAAGGTCATTTCTTAATTATTGACATTTTTAAAGATATAAGCTCTTCCCGATGATACACTCATCAAGAGTTTTCATTTGAGTACCCACACGCACTTTTCATATATTTGTCATATATACATGTATATAATATATATATAAATATATAAAATATATAAAAAAATTGATGTGGGTACTCAAATAAAAGGTATCAATGAGTGTAGTGTCGAGATGAGCTTATATCTTTAAAAATATCACAAGTTGACAAAATAGTAATGTCAGTTCTTAATTATTGACATTTTTAAAGATATAAGTTCATCCAGATGTTACACTTATTAAGATCTTTCATTTGAGTACCCACATGCATTTTTGATATATTTTTCATATATACATATATATAATATATAAAAATATATAAAATATATGAAAAATTGATGTGGGTATTCAAAAGAATGGTCTCGATGAGTACAATGTCGAGATGAGCTTATATCCTTAAAAATATCATCAGTAGACAAAATACAAAGACATTCCTTAATTATTGACATTATTTAAGATATAAGTTCATTCCGATGTTACATTGATTAAGAGCTTTCATTTGAGTACCCACATGCATTTTTATATATTTTTCATATATAGATGTATATAATATATATATATAAATATATAAAATATATGAAAAATTGATGTGGGTACTCAAATGAAAGGTCTCGAGGAGTGTGACATCAGGATGAGCTTATATCTTAAATAATGTCAATAATTAAAGAATTTCTAGGTATTTTGTTGATAAAACGCAAGGTCATTTCTTAATTATTGACATTTTTAATGATATAAGCTTATCTTGATGTTACACTCATCAAGACCTTTCATTTGAGTACCCACATGGCATTTTTTACATATTTTATATATATGGTATTTGTGAAATATATAAATATATGAAATATATGAAAAATTGATGTGGGTACTGAAATGAAAGGTCTTGATGAGAGTAACATCGGGATGAGCTTATATCTTTAAAAATGTTAATATTTCACAAAATATATAAGGTCATTTCTTAATTATGTATCTAGAGATAGAGCATTTTTATAGATAGATAAAATTTTTCTTATTCTTTAAATAATATAGATTAAATTTTTAATTAATTTTAAAAACATTTATATTTGTAGTTAAGGATAAAAAATAAAAAATTAGTTGAATAAAATTAAACCTTTCATAGATGATCGATCAAACTCACGTTAAGAAATATTTTTTTATTACTTTTTCTTTGATTTTATTTAAAAACTTTGTAAAGAAAGTCAAAAGTTTGTGAACAAGTTTCAGAGTTTCGGATACTTTGACTCAACTCAAAGCACTTCGTCTTGATCAGAAAAGTTTAAATCTATCTGTAGTAATTCAAAAGTTAGTTTGAGCTTGTTAAATTTAACTTTTGAATAAAAATAAAATTAAATAAGAAGAAATTTTTTATTGTTTTCTTTTTTTTTCTTAACAATTTAAATGACGCCTATCGATTTTTATCGTTTCAATAAATATTGATGTGTTATGATAAAAATATGTCAGAATAGATATAGGATGCAGTATATAAGTGAAGAAGCAACAAGACACGTGACTTGATCCTTTGCCAAGGACCGTTATATAGAAGAAACGAGGAATATGTTGGCGCCTCCGGTCTTGGCCGTTCTCCAGCGTAAGATGCTATGGTATACGTGCAAATATAAAGCTGTGCATGTAATGTATATACCAGTATAGTAGAAATAAGAGTATGGTGTACAAGTTGAAAGCAATTGCAGATGAGAAGGCAAAGCAGGCAAAATAAGAAAGAGGTGGGTCGCACAGCTGCCAGTACAATAAAAAAAAAGAGCAAATGATGATAAAGAATAATAAAAATAAAAAAGTATTAAAGCCGTGCTTTTGACTTTTTTATTTGGCTTAGCTTATTTTACCAACGGAGGAAAAATAAAAGTTTTAAAACTCCCTGGGAGCTTGTATACTTTTCATTCCTATCATATATGAACGATCCAATCGTATGGCGATGGTACATATTACATACAGTGTATGGTAGATAGTGTGCATGTACTACTCTTACTGCCTTTACTTGTGCCTTGCTGGTTTGGCTTGGTTTGCTTTGGTAGTAGATGGGAGAGAATGCCGTTTATAGTTCAGGGTCGTCGGACTCGACAACACTCGTACCGTGTTGTTATTATATTTGTGAAAGTATATCAACCAATTGACTAATTATTTTTTTTATTTTTTTTACAACTGTCTTTGGTTATTTCATTCAAATTATGTCATTCAATTTATTTTTTATGCTTAAAAAAAAAATAAAAAAATAGATTGATGGATAATATCTTTATATATTTATTTTTGTGCCAAAATATTCAATTTTTTTAGTTCAAAAAATAAAATTGTAAATTAATAAATTAAATTTTTGAATCAAAAATTTAAAATTCAAGGCAAAAGATAGTTAAAGAAAGACAATTGGTTGGTTTAAAAAGAATTGTTTCTCTCAAGTCAAAATAGCTTTGCTATAATTATCTATCTTATTAGGAGAATAAGAAAAATTTTGTGTCCAGGATATTGGTATGATAAAATCGGTTTTTTTTAAGTGAAATTTAGTGTCATTGCAAAGGTCTTGATTTGAATTTGTGCCTTTTCAAGGTTTAATATCATTCGTACCGATAGTCAATTTATTATGATAAGTATTTAGGCTGGATTCGAAAATGCTCTATCTCTAGATACATAATTAAGAAATTATCTTGTATCTTGTATACTATTGACATTTTTAAAGATATAAGCTCATCTCGATGTTTCACTCATCGAGACCTTTCATTTGAATACCCACATCAATTTTTCATATATTTATATATTTCACAAATACCATATATATATAAAATATACAAAAATTGCCATGTGGGTATTTGAATAAAAGGTCTCGATGAGTGTAACATCGGGATGAGCTTATATCTTTGAAAATATCATGTTGACAAAATATCATATAATTTCAATTATTGACATTTTTAAAGATATAAGCTCATCCCGAAATTACACTCATCGAGACCTTTCATTTGAATACCCACATCAATTTTTTTATATATTTATATACATTATATATATATATATATATATATGTATATATGAAAAATATTTAAAAATGCATGTGGGTATTCAAATGAAAACTCTTAATGAGTGTAATATCGGAATGAGCTTACATCTTTAAAAATGTCAATAATTAAGAAATGACCTTGTATCTTGTGAACTATTGACATTTTTAAAGATATAAGCTCACCCCGATGTTACACTCATCAAGAGCTTTCATTTGAGTACCCACATGTATTTTGATATATTTTTCATATATATAAATATATGAAAAATTGATGTGGGTATTCAAATGAAAGCTCTCGATAAGTGTAACATCAGGATGAGCTTATATCTTAAAAAATGTCAATAATTAAGAAATAACTTTGTATCTTGTCAACTACTGACATTTTTAAAGATATAAGCTCACCCCGACATTGCATTCATCGAGACCTTTCATTTGAGTACCCACATCAATATTTCATATATATTTATTATATGTAATAAGTATATAATATATATATTATAAATATATATTATATATATGTATATATGAAAAATATATCAAAATGCATGTGGGTACTCAAATAAAAGCTCTTGATGAGTGTAACATCGGGATGAGCTTATATCTTTAAAAACGTCAACATTTAAGAAATTACAGTGCAATTTAACAAAATTCATTATTTAATAAAGCACAATTTTAATTTTTTATAATTCACAAGTAACGGCAGTCACATAGTGACTGCAAGGTTGCTAGTACAAAAAATATTTTACTAATTGAAATATTTAATTACAGAAGACTGATAATAATTTTGTTGGCAAGAATCCTTCTTTTTGGAGTATATAATAAAATTATCTAAATAGTAAAATTATAGTACAAGTGATAGCAAAAAAAGTAAATAATTATAGCAAATAGCTTAACCACAAGCTCGTAAACTAATAAACTATAATAGCAACTAGGTAGAAACATAAACGACTACTCAAAAGTCCTTCTACACAACTCATTCCCTTTTAGTGGGATCGTTTTGCCAAACCACTTCCATCTGGCTGCTCAATGTGATCAAGTTTTAACGGCAAAACTTTCTAGCAGTTTAATTACTTGGAAACAATTCCACGAACAATGTTTGTAAGCTCTAAACTCGTCTGGCATGCAAGTTCAAAACCTCACTCAAGGATTTCCATTAATTTACACAATCCTATTTTTTAAATCAATTAGCTCCTACTTACATATACAAACACACATTAACGCCCTTTGTACATTAAATAAAAACTTTAAAAAATAAAAATAATTTACCGTAAATGGTTTTAGTTTTGTATAATCGACGAATTCCAATTTTTTATCATTTATAAACTCAACAGGCATCATGTCTTCGTGTAAATCTTCTCTTGCTACAAGTGGATAAAATCCCTGGAACAAAAAATTTTTACGCGTGTAAATTATGGTCACAATAAATTTCTTAATAAAATCTAATCAATTATGTCCTATAATTAGTGTTGATGTGAAAATAAAAATTATGTAAAAAAAAATAATGGCACTTTCGCCCGTGAGAGAGAAAGAGAGAGAAAGAGAGAGAGAGAGATCTTAATGCCGTATTTCGTGAGACAGTACAGTTAATTAAATGTGTCTAATTACGATTAGAGAAGAGCTAGCTAGCTAGCAGCACGTGGGAGCCAGCTGGTTTCTTACACTCCAATATAAAAGCGCATGTATGCTTGGTATTTCCGTTTGTAACTTCCTTCAAAGGCATCAAGATTCTCTTGAATTAATTTATTCGAGAAACGTTTTTTTTTTTTTTTTTTTATGTTTACCGATACAGCATACAATATTTTTTCGGTGTTTTTTTTTAATTTATTTTTATTTTTAATATAACTAAACGTATTTTAATTGGCACTTACGATAGCAGGCCAAGGAACGGTATTTGCGGATGTTGATCCTTTAGATTTGCCGTTAATGCGGTGATTATTATTTGTATGGTTGTTGTGATTGTATTGATCGATGGCAGTGAGACCGTTTTGTCGTGGATCTGGACGCTCTGCCCAAAAAACTCCTTTTTCGATGAGAAAATATGTAAAGGCTGTGTCTCGATGCGGTGATAACCATTCTCGTCTGTGCCATTCCACGTCGTCGTATTCAACAAGAACCTGAAAAATAATTATAGTAATTAATTACACCTTGATTTTAAATACCGTGGTCATTTTAATTTATGGTAATTTTGAGTCTTATTTTTGTAATAGGGTTTTATTGATATTTTTTGGGGCCTGGAACAGTTATACTTAATATTTTTGATTCAAAAATTATTTTTTTTATAATTTTATAAAAATTACATTTATTTATTTATTAAAATTATACATATTTATTCATTTATTTTTTATAATTTAAAAAAATGTTTTTTTTTTTTTTAAATACTTATTCAGCTTTTTAAACTAAAAAATACAATTTTTGAAGAATAAATTGTGACTTTAATTTTTTATAAAAATTATATTTATTTATTCATTTTTTAAATTTAAAAAAAATTTTTGTTTTTTTTTTTAAATACTTATTTAGTTTTTTTAATCTAAAAAATAGAATTTTAAAAGAATCAATCATAACTTTAATTATTTAGGAAAATTATAGAAAAAAAAAAAAATTTTAAACCAAGAAAATTATTTTGACAAAGGCCCTCGCCAGATAAACTGGGTAAAATGCCCCCATTGCAATCGGGCTAATTGTTTTTCCTAAAATTTCTTATTTTGTGGACAATATCTCAGTCCAATTTCAACTCTAAAATATCACGCGTTTTTAAGTAAAAAATAAGTTTTTTTTTTTTTTTTCAAATTCATTATTCTCCGAATCTACTTGGTAATATTAAAAAAAAGTGCTAGTGGGTTTTAAGATATCACTAATTAGTATTCCTAGAAAAATTCGCTCGATAATCGGGTCAGTTATATTTAAAAAAATTTTTTTTTATGCCAAAATTGTATGGTACACCTTAGCTTTTTTTTGCACGTATTACTCTAACATTGACCTACAATATATATTTTTTTAAGATTTTTCAAAATATTACACGTTCATTATAAATATTAAAAGTTTAATCATCCTTACAATCGTCTAATATTTTTTAAAGTATAAAAAAAATATATTTTGTAGAGTGAGACGAAGAAATAATGTTATAAATTTAAATCATGAAAAAAAATTTTATTTAATAATTTTTTTGTTAGATTTAAGATTAATTTTTTAAAATCTTGATTCAAAATTTTTTAAAATAAATAAAAATGTTTTTTTTCAATAATTCATTTTTTTTTAATTTAAAATAGTAGCTTAAGCCAGAAAATTTCAAATTTTTAATATTTTTTGTAAAAAAAAAAAAAGAAATCTTACATTTAAAATTTTTTTTTTCTAAGAGATTTTCATTTTTTAGTTTAAGAAGATAAAAATTTGAACAAAAAAATTATTCTTAAAAAAAATTATAATTTTTTTAGAAGAAAATTATCAAAATACTAAATTTTAAATTAAATAATAAGAGAATGAATTATTGCAGCATAATAAGTGATTTTCTTACTTTAAATTAAATTAATATTTTCATCAGTGTATATAGTAAAAAAAAATCATTAAAAAAATTTAGTAAGAAATATAATTCTCATTAAAAAGATATATATTTATGACTATTTCAGTAAAATCAATAGTTGGAATGTGAGAGCTATTTAAAACTCAAGTTATATCAGAGTCGATAATTTAAATTTCACGAGCGTACAATTAAATTGAAATAAATGTATATTTAAGTTTCAATCATTAAAACATAAGAGAGAAGATGAAGAAGAAAAAGCACAAGATGAAAAAAAAAAACTGTTTTTATTGTTATTCAGTTAAGGAATTGTATTATTAAATTCCGCCGTCTGGCCGCGTGTTTACATCTATGAATAAGTATGAAGAGCATATAATTGCAATTACAATGCATTATTCATGATCATGAGTTATATGAAGAATAAGCTAAAAAAAGTCTAGTGGTGGAAATGTAAAGGAAGAGGCGTGGGTCGAATAATCGCACGCTCAGTTTAGTAAGGAGACCTCGTATAACTAACAAGTACTATCACAAGTACAAATTATGTAAGTTAAATGATTACTGGCTAATAATTGAAGCGCAAAGTAGAAAAAAAACAAGTCATTTTTTTATTAAGCTTAAAAAATTATTTATATTTCTTCAGACAAGTTTTTCGCTTAATTTTAGTAGATTTAAAAAATTTTTCGAATTTAAAAAACCCGCGCAAAAATTTGATGGATTTTAGTTTGGATAAAACCCGCGAGATGGCAGAAACTGTTAGGACGGCAATTCATGATGGCTGCCGTGACTCCACCTCCTAAATATTATGACACACTCAAGTCCCACCCACATTGTCGCCTTGGCAACACTGGCGCAACTAGCGCCTTTTCTTCGGTACTTGTTGCGGCCATCATGAAAATATCCCCGACCTATCTCAATGTCTCCCCACTCTGATTACTAATTCTCTAACTCCGCAAACTAGTTTGAAATCATTTCAGCGCCTACTATGCTACCTTACGATTCAAAAAAAATTTTAGTCAATTAAAAAATTTACATTTTTATAATAATTTCATTATTTATTATTTTTTTTATTTTAATTTTCGAATTAAAATAAAGGAAAGAAATTTTTAAATTGAAGATAATTTTTTCAAGCAAAAAAATTAATATTAAATTATTTAAGATTTTTTAACTTAAAATCAAATAATTAAAAAATTGTCAAACATTCAAAAAATTATTATTTAAATTTATAATTGTTTTAATTTTTAAGGCTAAATATTATTAAGAATAAACAATATTAATTAATTATTAAATTTTTTAAATTGAAGATAATTTTTTCTAAAGCAAAAAAATAAATTTTATTTAATTATTTAAGATTTTTTAATTTAAAATCAATTAATTTAAAAATTATTAATGTTTCAAAAAATTATTGTTTAAATTTGTAAGTTTGGTTTAATTTTTAAGGCTAAATATTATTAAGAATAAATAATAATATTAATTAATTAAAAATTTTTTAAATAATTTATTTTATTTAGTCGATAATTAATTTTGAATTAAAAAAAAAGCGGCAATATTTCGACATAAATAAATGGAGGGATAAAAATAAAAAATAACACGAGCATTGAAAAAGATAAATAAAAGTTAGAGGGCATGAACTCAATAAAAAAAGGGGTATTGAACTGCGGTAAAGCACGAAAACACTATTTCCGTCCCTTTCGCTTTTCACCAGCTCTAGTAAAGTCAGTGGAAGTCATTTTTTTTTTTTATTTAACTTAACTTTATTTGAGGCAACCAACCGAATCAAACACTTTCTAAATAAAAGCCGATTATATTATAATTTATAATATTATTTTCTTCTAGAAAAAAATTGGAAATTAATTAATTTATTTATTTATTTATTTAGTTTAAGTAGACCCAACAGCTGGCAGGGCAATAAAAGAGTCTCAATACAATTTATATAAAGTTTAACAAACTATAAGTACAAGTTATTAACTTAAGGTGAAGAAATTTTACATGTTACACAGTAAAAAATTTTGCATCAGAGTCAAAAAATTTTGTGTTAAATATTTAACAATTTTATGTGTAAATTTAACATTTATTGTGTTAAATTAACACAAAAAAGTGTTAAATATTTAACATAAAAATTTTTAACACAAAATTTTTTTTTTTGACGCATTGACGTAAAATTTTTTACTGTGTATAATTAAATCTTATAATATAGATGATATGAAGTTTTACAGTTTATCAGGAAATATTTCTACAATTACGATTGGAGCATAAATAGTGAGATATTTAAAAAATTTTTATGTAAATTAAAGTGAAAAATTTGTAATTTGATTTAAGAGGTAGCTTTTGGGTAAAAATAAAAGAGTCCATTTAATATTCGCGAGAGTGGAAAAATGCAGGGTAGGTGAATTTAATATTTTTTTATTTTTTTTCCCAACAAAAGAACTTGCATTTCATTTGAAGCCGGTAGAGTATTTTTGTATACGAGTATGTCGGTGATAGAGTGCATTTTTGTGAATAAATAGGCCGTAGCGAGTAGAGATGCAGCGTCGAGTGAGTTACGGCGAATATACCGTGGACACGGGAGTAAAGGGGATGATAAGGGGATAAAAAAAATATAAGAAAAAAAAAGGGCACAGTACAGCCCCTTTTAGGTCTGACGACGATTGATGCTTGCTTTTGTACGGGAAATTCAATTTAAATCCCGGAAAATAAATTATGAAAATGCAAATTTTGATTTTTATCATTTTTTGGTTGATAAAAAAATAATTAGAAATTTTTTTTTATTTTATAATGGGAAGTGTATTAGTAATTAAATAAAAAAATAAGTTCGAGTGTTGGATCACGGATTGTCCCGCTTACACTCTCCGGTTACCAACACCGGAAGTTGGAGGCCACCGTCTGACCTTGTGTCGGTCGCTCGAGTCTCCCGGCGCGTGGCTCGACATTCGATCCTATCTACAGGGTGTTCCTCAATTACTAATCAATTATTTTAATCAATTTAACGGACTCCCCGCTACAATTGCGTTCATTTCATTCATATAGTCGACACTAACAGTTTTGGTTGTCTACAAATGTATTATCAATTATTTTTTTATTTATAATTATTTTTATTATAATTTTATAAAACTTGAAATAATATTATTTTATTTGGATGCTAAAAAGAGGAGATAATTATGCAAAAGTTTAATTTCGTGATTTATTTTATTGACATTAATGTTATTGATAAATTTTAATTTCAATAACGTGATTTATCAAGAATAATTTTTTAATTTTTTTAAAATATTAAAATACAAATATGAAACTTCACGATAAATTAAGAACTGTTTTTTACAATTTTTTCATCACAGTTTCTTAAAATAAAAACTGCATCTTAATAAATATTTAAAACTCTGGTTCTAGCACCACATTTACTTAAATATTTCATTTCGTCTTATCGTTAATATCACTTTTAACTAGGTTAAATAATTTAGAAATTTTTGGAACATTTTAGATTAAAATTAAGAATTTTACTATTTTATTTTTTAAATATTGCGACAATTATTAAATTAGTTTTTATCAGTTTTAAAAAATAGATTTTGCTTATTTGGCTCAAGATTTTAATTTTAAACGTTACTGAAAGACAAGATTTGAGAATTAATATAATGGAAAAAAATATTTCTAGCTTTTACATGA